ATTCCATGCTTTATAAAATTGAAAAGGAGCACTAAAATTTTGACTTAAAAATTAAGTTAAAGAATTTAACATTTTTGATATATGTAAAATATCATCCCACGATTTTTCTACTCATAAATCAATTTAATATTTGTATGTATCCACATTCAGATACAATATATGAAACTACCAGAAAATGTTTAAATTGACTAATCTCGACTTTTGATGATATAAGTTATTGATAAAGCAAATATTTTATATGTGCTCGAGCAAACAAATTTTATGCTTCGAATATGAAAAAAATTTGTATCTCAAACATTTTTTTATTTGCGGAAGAGTTTGTGAAGAAACACATTTCAATAGTAAATCTTTTTTTCGGTTTCTGTTGGTCAATTTGCTATGCAGACATTGCAAGACCTCACATTTGCTTTATGGAATAATGGATTTTTATTTTATTTTTTTTTTGTTATTTTTATTATTGTTGTTTTTTTTGTAGAGACCAGGGATAATATTTGACTTAGCAATTCATTAATCATTGATAATTATATATGAAATTGTGGTCCAATATTATGTTAAGCTGCGGCTAATATTACCTGGCAACAGCATGGTCAATTTCGGTTAGTATACTTTTTTACGAGTAAATAATTTTTAATTGTTCACGTTTCAAATTTATTTTATTTAATGTTTGCGGTAAAAGAGTTTATCTATCTTAAATGGTTTTAAGCAGAAAAAAAATATATCTGTTATAATTTTCCCTACTTCATTGAGTTGATATAGATTGTGGTGTTGTTTAATTGGACTTTGCTCAATTTAAACGGTTATGTTCTAGATTCTATGAAGCTGTGCAATTAAAAGTCTATAATGTTAAAATGAATAACTACATGTGTTAAGGGACTTATGATTTCATACTGTCATATATTTGGTTTGTAAATAGTGGATATTATTTAAATATTAAAATTAAACCAGAATACATTCACATATACTATATCTTATTGAAATTTTGGAAATAATGTTAAATAACCTTAAGAACTGCGGTTCAGAAGTATATCTATAGTGATGTATTTTAATTAAAATTTCTGAAAACTTGTTTAAAATTCAGATGAAAACATGTAATTAAAAAATAATCATTATACCTAATACAAAATGGCACGAGATATAATTTTTTTGTGGTTCTATGATAGATTCGTCTACCAAAAATCCTTTTTCAAACGTCATTGACGTAGTTGCATATTTATAGATATGTAATACTTACTGCTAAAACTAAATTGTTGTAAAAATATAATTTATCAAATATAAGATTTAGAAATATTCTATGTTATTAAAAATAATTTCTGCAATATTTATTTTATTTTATAGTTACTAGACTTACAACGCTACCATAACTGCCATACTACATTAATAGAATGAAGGGATTGTAAGCCCATCTTATGAAAGATGTGAACTCCTATCTGGTCTAAGGAGCAGGTACTATTGACAAATTTAAAGGTGAGCTTTAACTTATATGGATTATGGCATAAATCCGATTTCTGAAGTGGCGTAATATGACATTGGGCAATACTTAATATTAATATTCTAATAATATATATTAATTTTAATATTAATATTCAACTTTTTCGAGTTCAAAATCGATTAAAATCCGTTGTCAAATTGTCGCACCCGATAAATCAGAATATACTCGATTTTAGGTGAAGTAAACTTTTTTGGAATACAGAAACTATTGTATCGTTCTAGAAATGTATGGATATTGAATTTAGATTTAAGAATGTCGGATATACATTTAAGAAATTCAATTGCAAGCAATAGTAAATGGCCAATTTGTAGAGAATTCCGTGCAGTGATAAAGTATATAAGCAAAAGTTTTCGATTCCTTCTCCGATCCACAACTTTGACAATAGTTAGATAAAGCTATCTGTTTGGTACTGATCAAAGTAGAAAACTTTAAAACTTATTTTGGTTTCTTTTGCAAACAAAACACCTTAAGTATCTTATTTTGTTTCCTTTTTTAGTAGATTTAAAATTCCAATTTTATTTATAATATAATAAATAAACAAAGAGGTTTTCTTTATTTTAATAATGTTTGCAGTATATTTCCTAATACTTTGCCAAATAAAAAATTGTTTTAGGAATACTTAAGATCCGCAAAAAGATAAGGAGTAAAGACTTTAACTTGTTTTCCATAATGCATTCCTCACAACAAAGAAACACAATTGCTTAGCTCCATGTTCATTAATTCCAACAAATTGTACGCAATAAAATAAGATTAGCATCTGACAAAGTCCGCCAATGCCAAATTTCATGATTCATGCCACAAAAGCCTAGAAACAGAATTAATGTTACTGCACTAATGCACTTCATAGAGTTGCGCCAATAAAAAACCAGAAAACCGGAGAGGGAAAAAAATCTTATTAAAGAAACTTGTTCAAGAAAACATATTATTAAATATGTGTGCACTTTGTTGCTCTGGGAAAACGACAACTAAAACACGTCATTCCGTATTACCGAATTTTCTTTCCCCTCCGATAGAAAGAAAAAACATAACCGTGTCAGCAACAAATCACAGGTCAGAGGCAGATGGCGTCATCGTCTGTGTCTGCAAAACTTATTGGCAAAATTGTATGTTTCTGCCAAGTTGTTGCCACTTGAGCCACTCGCAAGCCAGCAGACTAGGTTTGGGTACCCATACCTGATGTGTACGTAATCTTGTTAGAAAAATGTCAAACCTAAAAAAACATAGTCAATGGAATAGTGTGCAGTTGAAGTTTAAACACTAATCACAATTCAATTTACAAAACTGTGTCTCCGAAATTTGTGCCAAAAACATTGAAATTCAAATATTATGCAGCACTCGTGGGGGTCTCCTTGTTATTATGACATCAATAACCATATCCGGATGCAGTGATTGGTAATTGGAAATGTGCTGCAGTTGCTAGCAGTTATGTGGTAAGAAACACGATTTCTTGAAAATGAAAATAATGTGAAAATGCACTCGAGCGACAGGTTTATTGACTGCAACGAAAAGAGAGGGAAAATCCAAATCCTATCAAAATTCATACGAATATAAAATTTAAGGTGGCACTAAATAAAATCTATCAAAGTATACGATTTCTTAGAAAAGATACCGTTTGACTTATGTATGTATATACGCGCGAGTTTTTATTTACTATTTATGTGCATATGAAAATTGACAAATGACATTTTGGCACCAATTGATATAAAAGTCAATTGCATAAATTATAGATTTCGGCAATTTTTTGGTTTTATTTTGTATTTGTAGTTTGCGAAACAGTAAATTACATTAGCGTTGCAGTCGGCCTTTGAACAATTTTTGAATACGAGTTTTGCTTAATGGAAATTCAAAGCGATTAAAATAATTTGTCAATTAAATTGAAGTTCAAACTTGATTTTTAACCGCAAACCTCTTAAGACATTCACAGTAAATTTCTAACGAATTTATGATTGACAGAAGCAGTTTTAATTAAATAATAAAAGTAAAAAATGAATTTTTCACCATTTAGTTAACTTCATTAAGAGTAGATATTAATATTAATTAAAAAATGAATAAAAAATTAAAAAAAAATTGAGTTTTGATTAAATGATCTGAAATAAAGTAAAGAATTATAGGGTAAATTTCATGTGGATCCAAAACTTAATAGTTAATATGTATAGGCAACGGTTGTGAGTTTTTTTTGTAAGTAAATAAGAGAATAATACAAAAATATTTTTAAACATAATTCCTAAGAGTAGATAAAGAGAGGAATTAAATGGTCAGTTTTATCTAGATTAAAGTTAGTATGCATAAATAGAGAGTAAAAAGGAGGATATACATAGTACAAAAATAATTCTTAAAATAATTCCTAAGACTAGATAAAATAAGTAAATATTTTATTATGACCCTTCATAGGTTCGAGTTTTTTTCTCAAAAGAAAAAAAGAATAGTACAAATATACAAGAAGAATCACTAAACCCTACCTAATAAGGTCAACTAATTTTTCATCTGCCTGAACTTAAAGAAAAGAGTTTATGCCTATTTTACTATCTCTATAATCTAGAGATTTGAAATAGACTATTTTGGAATCAAAATAGTCTATCAGACTCAAAAATGTAAAGCAGATTTAAAATAGTCTATCAGACTCAAAAATGTAAATCAGACTCAAAATAGTCTATCAGACTCAAATTAGTCTATCAGAGACTCAAAATACTCTATCAGAGTCAAAGTAGTCTATCAAACTCAAAATAGTATATTAGGCTATCAGACTCAAAATACTCCATCAGACTCAAAATTGTCTATCAGATTATTTTGTCGATACTCATATTGACTGATAGGTAGGCAAATATTGTTAAACTGATTTGTATCGTTATGATAATCAATAATAGATGTTTACGGTTTACATAGATCACAAAAATGGATTATACAGTGTTTTTATTAAACTTAATTTATAAATAAAACTTATTGCTACTGAAATAACGGAGTTAATTTGTGGTACCACATATGTTACTTTTTTAAAAGTTACAACAGCTTAGCTGGTTGAAAGTTTGGCAGTTTTCACAACAACTGTTTGATATTAGGTATCATAAAAGCCAGCCCGTTGCAACATACTTCTCTCTCATGTTTTTGATAGAATTTGGTTTAAGTTTCTATTATATATTTTCATCTTCTTTATATTTTCTATAAATATAGCTTTATAGATAGATAGATATAGATAGATTTTCTATAGAAATTTATTCTTTTTATTTAAATACCTTTAAGATTGCATTACAGTATGTGATACAGATTCTATGGTCCCAAAGTACCATAGTACTTTGGCCTTAGAACCGTCAAATATTCTTCAACATATTGAAAATAATTTTAAACATTTTAACATTTAAACCATATATATATATCCACTATAACACTTATGTATTTTAAAAAATTTTT